CTTACTCTTGAATCCAATAACAATTTCGATCCAATATCAATTTCAATGCAATGTCAATCCAATATTGACAAATTAGCGTACTCTTGAAAACAATTTTGACAACATTGGATTGAAATCGGAATTTCGCTCGGATTGGCCAAAAGTTTTGTTGTACCACATGATGTTAGCTGCGTTACTCTAAGCAACAGGCATGTTTTATTTATCGTTAAACCGGTAAAGTCATAATAAATCCTTTGTAACTTTCATAAACGAGCGTTTAAGTAGTAAAAATACTTAATAAATGGTGTAATTCGTCAAACATAACATCTTTTCATACAATTCTTTTAAAAAAACGCTATATTTGCGAGTTTTAATTAATTATAAGGCTGTATAGGAGCGTGTCTTTGCCTCATTTTTTATTGTCAGAAAAAAATTGTTATCACGACGATCATGAAACAAAGTAAACAAATATCAACTTTCGAAAAACTCTTTTTAAGTTTAAAGGTGAAGTGCTTTTTAAGTATGTGTACAGTGAATTACTAATAGACCTTTCAATTTGGGTATAACTATAAACAGTTTGAAATATGAAACAGACGAAATGGGCACTGTTAGCTAATTAGGAGGAACAAAATAAATAATAATGGTCAAGGATAGGAAGTAAGTATAACAATGTTTTTTAAGAATTTTATAAGTAGATGTTTTTTAATTTAGATTCCGAAAAAAGCAATTTCAGTGTTTTATTTTTCGTATAACCGGTGAAGATGCTACTAGTTGTTGAAATCCATCGTAACTTTCACAAATAAGCTTTTAAATAACAAAAATACATAATGAAGTGTTTTCGACAAACTTAACATCAGTTCACACGGTTCTTGTAAAAACAGCTTGATTTATTAACTTTGAATGTTTCTTTAGGCTGTAAAGTGCTTTCCTTTCCCTTTTTTACTATTGGTACTTGAAAATAATCCATAACTCATTCCACATGATTAAAACTACTTTTACGGATTTTATCGCGTTTATTTTTTACTTTTTTATTTTTAATTCCCGACGTTTCGGGCGCTTTCCAGCACCCATGGTCACGGGGGACTGAGATGACTGACGTCCCGATGTCATTGTTAAACCCGGAGTACCTTCAGCTTTTTTAATTTTTGTTTATGGTCCGATCTATGCAAAATGAACTGACTATGTCCTGAGGTCTTGCAGTGGTATGCTTGGGTTTAGTTTTAATTTTATTGATTATAGGACCCCAAGCAGGTGGTAGTACCCAGCCTCCTTCTCTATTGAAATTAGGATGTTTTTTAATTTCAATAGCCTCACGTATCATCCTTGGTAGGAATCGGTGTTCTTTCGCGAGGATTTGTGGTCTATCAAATCTGATGTAATGGTTGGGGCCGTCTAGGATATGATCACAAACTGCAGACTTCCCGGAACGTTGATGCTTCACATCAGCTATATGTTCTTTTACGCGGGTCCTAATTGATCTTTTGGTTTGTCCTATATAAGAGAGACCACATTCACAATCAAGCTTGTACACTCCTGCATCTTGTAGAGGAATATGACACTTGACGGATGGTAGGTACTGACTAATCTTCTTCGGCGGCTTGTAGAATGTTCTAATAGAAGCTCGCTTCAAGATATAGCCAATCTTGTCTGTGACACCTCTGACATATGGTAGTACAGCAGGCACACGCTCGACTGTGGCCGGCTTCACTCGGTCACTATGACGTAGGCGCGGGACCCGAAGCTTGTTGTCGTGCAGAACTTGCTTGACGTGCTGAAGCTCGGCGGCCAGGTGTTTGCTGTCACAGATCGCTCGTGCTCTCTGTAACAAAGATTTGCCCACGGTAGCTAACTGTGAAGGATGGTGGTGAGATTCACCGTTTAAATATCGGTTTGTATGGGTCTTTTTCCTATACACAGTGTGACCAATGGTGTTATTAGGATTTCGGATGACTAACACATCTAGGAAAGGTAAGGAATTATTTGCCTCTAACTCCATAGTAAATTGTATTTTAGCGTTTATGGAATTAAGATGGTCTAAAAATGCAGTTATTTTGTCTGATGGTAAAATTGTGAAAGTATCGTCTACGTACCGCTTGTAGATCCTTGGTGTAACAGGTGCAGTAAGGAGGGCTTTCTCCTCAAAGTCTTCCATGAATATATCGGCGACAATGGGAGATACAGGTGAGCCCATCGCCACACCATCTACTTGCTTGTAAAACTCTTCCTTCCACAATAGATAGCCAGATGTAAGGCAATGTCTTAGTAATACTGCATATTCTGCTGGCATGTTATTTTCCTCTAGTTTCCTAGTTATAATTGAGATGCAGTCTTCAACAGGTAGGCATGTAAATAGAGACTGAACATCAAAACTGACCATGGTTTCATTGTCAGTAAGATGTAGGTCTTTTATCTCACTGACAAAATGGTATGAATCCTTAGTGTGTGCTCTTGTGTGTCCTCTGAGTGGTGATAATATTTTAGCTAAGTATTGAGCCAATCTGTAAGTTGGCGAATCAATCCGACTCACTATTGGACGTAATGGAGCATTCGGTTTGTGTATCTTTGGTAACCCATATAACTTCGGTGGTTTGGCACAGGAAGGTATTATCGAATTAACGTCCAGATTCAATTTTTCGGAGTATTTCTTATTAGATCGCTAGTTGTTTTAAGCGTATTAGTTGTAGGGTCTGTTTTGACCTTTCGATAAGTAGTTTCATCCGACAAAAGTTGTTGTATTTTAAAATTGTAATCTGACGTATCCATTATAACCGTAGAATTAAATTTATCTGCGCGGAAAATCGTAAGCTCTGGTCTGTTGCGTAAGTTTTTCAACGCGTTAAATTAAATCTCCCCGAAAATTAAATCTCCCCAAAAATGAATTTAACGCGTTGAAAAACTTACGCAACAGACCAGAGCTTACAATTCTCCGCGCAGATAAAGGTAATTCTACGGTTATAATGGATACGTCAGATTACAATTTTAAAATACAACAACTTTTGTCGGATGAAACTACTTATCGAAAGGTCAAAACAGACCCTACAGCTAATACGCTTAAAACAACTAGCGATCTAATTAAGAAATACTCCGAAAAAATTGAATCTGGACGTTAATTCGATATGCTTCCTGTGCCAAACCACCGAAGTTATATGGGTTACCAAAGATACACAAACCGAATGCTCATTACGTCAATAGTGAGTCAGATTGATTCGCCAACTTACAGATTGGCTCAATACTTAGCTAAAATATTATCACCACTCAGAGGACACACAAGAGCACACACTAAGGATTCATACCATTTTGTCAGTGAGATAAAAGACCTACATCTTACTGACAATGAAACCATGGTCAGTTTTGATGTTCAGTCTCTATTTACATGCCTACCTGTTGAAGACTGCATCTCAATTATAACTAGGAAACTAGAGGAAAATAACATGCCAGCAGAATATGCAGTATTACTAAGACATTGCCTTACATCTGGCTATCTATTGTGGAAGGAAGAGTTTTACAAGCAAGTAGATGGTGTGGCGATGGGCTCACCTGTATCTCCCATTGTCGCCGATATATTCATGGAAGACTTTGAGGAGAAAGCCCTCCTTACTGCACCTGTTACACCAAGGATCTACAAGCGGTACGTAGACGATACTTTCACAATTTTACCATCAGACAAAATAACTGCATTTTTAGACCATCTTAATTCCATAAACGCTAAAATACAATTTACTATGGAGTTAGAGGCAAATAATTCCTTACCTTTCCTAGATGTGTTAGTCATCCGAAATCCTAATAACACCATTGGTCACACTGTGTATGAGAAAAAGACCCATACAAACCGATATTTAAACGGTGAATCTCACCACCATCCTTCACAGTTAGCTACCGTGGGCAAATCTTTGTTACAGAGAGCACGAGCGATCTGTGACAGCAAACACCTGGCCGCCGAGCTTCAGCACGTCAAGCAAGTTCTGCACGACAACAAGCTTCGGGTCCCGCGCCTACGTCAAGTGACCGAGTGAAAGCCGGCCACAGTCGAGCGTGTGCCTGCTGACTACCATATGTCAGAGGTGTCACAGACAAGATTGGCTATATCTTGAAGCGAGCTTCTATTAGAACATTCTACAAGCCGCCGAAGAAGATTAGTCAGTACCTACCATCCGTCAAGTGTCATATTCCTCTACAAGATGCAGGAGTGTACAAGCTTGATTGTGAATGTGGTCTCTCTTATATAGGACAAACCAAAAGATCAATTAGGACCCGCGTAAAAGAACATATAGCTGATGTGAAGCATCAACGTTCCGGGAAGTCTGCAGTTTGTGATCATATCCTAGACGGCCCCAACCATTACATCAGATTTGATAGGCTACAAATCTTCGCGAAAGAACACCGAGTCCTACCAAGGATGATACGTGAGGCTATTGAAATTAAAAAACATCCTAATTTCAATAGAGAAGGAGGCTGGGTACTACCACCTGCTTGGGATCCTATAATCAATAAAATTAAAACTAAACCCAAGCATACCACTGCAAGACCTCTGGACATAGTCCGTTCATTTTGCATAGATCGGACCATAAACAATAATTAAAAAAGCTGAAGGTACTCCGGGTTTAACAATGACATCGGGACGTCAGTCATCTCAGTCCCCCGTGACCATGGGTGCTGGAAAGCGCCCGAAACGTCGGGAATTAAAAATAAAAAGTAAAAAATAAACGCGATAAAATCCGTAAAAGTAGTTTTAATCATGTGCAATGTTCGCGTAAATATAAGAAATCATTATAACATAACTCATTCCTCTCATTCTTAAAATAGGGTTCTGTGATTTTAAAATAAGTTTTTATTTTTATATATGTTGAAGTACTTAAAGACTGGTGCAGTTTGATACTGATTATTTCGAAATTGTTCATCATCAATTTAACATTATAACATGACTAATCGTCCAACTCTAGCACAAATTGAAACCTTAGTTGAATTTTTTAGAACAAAACGTCGGAATTGCGAAAGGTCTGCTACGGACAAATCAAGCAAAAATGGAAATAAAGAGGCAATGGACATCTGTAGCTATAACTTCAAATTCATTGGGAGGAGCAAACAAAGATGGGCAAGGTTGGGCTAAAGTAAGTCTTAAGTTTATATAAAATATAAATACTGTTTTTTTTACCTGTTAGGTATATTTAAATAAATTATCCATCGTTTTTAGTATTGGGCAGAGAAGAAATGTGCCTTGAAAAAATTGTGTGCTCAGCACAGCAATTCCATGAGACGCACTGGTGGTGGTTCTGCTGATGACCTGCCCATGTTATCAGACTTGGATAAGAGATTGGTGGCAGTTATGGGTGGTCAAGAGTTTGCTGTTGGAGATTCTCAACTTGCAGTTGATCCTTTTCACCACACGGTAATTATTCATAAAGATCTTGTAAACATAGTTAAACTTTTAAATATAATGTTTGGTAGTCTATAAGAAAATTTGTATTATCTCTGTAGTCTTATAAATACATCTTTATACTCATATGTTTGTAAATTTTAGGAACATCAAATGACACAATCAGTCCCTGCGGCTTCACCAGTAGAAAATGTAAATTTAGGTTTAGAAAATCAAGCAGCGGTGATAGGAAGTTGTACTTCCCCTATTCCTGGCACCTCCCAGGATACACTACAATCACCTCCGCGTAATAGTAAGTAATTTTTTTATAGAAGAGTAGAAAATAAGCATGTGGCTCACCTGATAGTGGTGACCGCCACCCACGAACAACTGCAATACCAGAGTTACAGGTGCTTTGCCGGCCTTTAATTTTCTAACATTAACCAAAACTAGAATGTGACTAACATTAACCAAAATTTAGCACCATTTTTAATTTATGAAATTTAAGAATGTTATGACCTTGCTTTATGGTTGGGGGCCTAGGACCAGCAGTGCACTTGTAAAGGGCTGCAATCATGGTGATGATGATATAATATATTATAGTCCCTTTAGCTTCATGTGGTAACAGACTTGCAATTTGTAGACATTATACTTATAAGTGACTTAAAAAGGTTCACCCACTGATTTTTTGTCAACCTTTAATTACTTAAATAAATAAGTAACATGTTAAGCATGTCATTTTCTTAAGTGGGTAAAAGTGTTTCAATAAGTTTTAAAGATATTTGTAAACTCTTGTGATGCTTAAAACTTTTAATCTAAAATATTCGATCTCAATATTAAATTCCCATATTTTATGGTCGTGGACTGGATGCATTTATATCAGAAACATTACTTTTAAAATATTAAATATTATTAAAAATAATATTAAATATTTTAATTTCAGAATCAAAACTTAAATCCATGTCACATATCAGGCAATGTTATTTTCTGTCACAAGAAATAATAAAGACATGGAACGGCTGGTACAAATTGAGGAGCAGCGTGTCAGGGCAGAAAATATAACCGCACAAGCTTTTGCAGATGTTTTTGCTGCATTAGATCGTAATGCTGTTGCTGTTGTAAATATAGGCAGAGCTTTGGAGGGTTTATCTGCTGTCATTAACAATGCTATTATAGAATTTGCAAAAAAATGCAATGACAACAAATAGCATTTCTAGGAAACTTAAAATAAAAAGAATTTAAATTTTTATTGCTGTTTTCATGTTTAATTTTTTTTGTTTTTATTTAATTTCCATTGCAGTAACAACTTATTTGTTAAACTAAAAAGTGCAATTTTGTTAATTTTGATTTTAAATTTTAACCATATATTATAAATTAAAATCAACATATTTTTGATAATTTCATGTAAGATATGGCTATGGCTATTTTTTAACAATGAATCTTACTTATATAACTCCTAGGTCTAGTTTATATAGGTTATAAAGGTCAGTAAATTTTGTTTTATAATATTTTAAAAAAGTTGTGTAATTATTTTCTCTTGAAATATTTGTGTTTATTAAATAAAATATTTGGTTCAACATTTTTGCAGTTTTATTTCGAAATCACAAAATTAAGATACAAAATAACTATTACATTAATATTAAGTTATAAAAGTTAAAATTAAGATACAAAATAACTATTTTAATCTTTGTAAACCACATATGTAGTCTCTAATACATATCAATAATAATATATTTAAAACAGGTATTGGGGTTTTCTTTTAAATTACACTAAGGTACATATAAAGCCAGACTATGTTTTTTTTTAAATCATATTCATTTAGTTATTATAATATACACAAAAGAAACAATAAGAATAACATTATACTTAATTAAAACATAATACATAATTAATAGTACAAAGTAACTAATATTTTATATATTACATTGTCCTAGCAGCAAAGAGCTGTTGAACTAAGGCAGCTCTTTTTACAATTCCTCGCCTTAGTTCATCAGCCAATGTAATATTTAAAAATTCTTCAGGGATAGCGATATCTACTGAGTCATCTCTTTCAATTGCACTATCCTCTAACACTTCATGCAGGAGATCTTTTTTATTACACATATTGTGTAAAACACAACAAGCGATCATTATTTTTCCTGCTGTGTTAGGGTGATAATGCAACACCCGATGGCCCAGCAAACATCGCCATCTATTTTTAACACACCTATTGCTCGCTCTAGTGTTACGAGCTGAGCAATGCAACTTATTATATCCTTCAGGAGAGTCCACGTCAGCATTCAGTATGGGAGTCATCATATACTCCCTTTGAGCATACCCTGAGTCACCTAAAAATAAAAATAAACAATGTATGGTGTGGTATGATTTAAACGTCACTCATAATGTTCTTCCTCGCTTTTATTATGCTCACCTAATAAATACACATTTTCTCCTGAACTAAGCAACGAAATCATATGGTTTTTAACTGGATGCTGGTTCCATATAAAACTATCATGAGAGGCTCCGCCAAAAGAAGCATCTACTGACAGTATATTTAAATCAGCATCACATATCTGGAAATAAATTAAATAATGAAATATATTTTCATCATAAAATATTATTATAAGATATTTTCAAATGCTTACAATTAAAACATTTCTTGAATGAAAATGTTTTCTGTTGAAAAACCTCTCCTCATTTTCTGTGGGTCTAACAATACTTATATGTGTACCATCAATGCAACCCAAAACAGCTGGTATATTAAATTTTTCATAAAATCTGAAATATATTTGTAGTACTATTAACAAAGTTACAAAACAATAAATATTTTAAAATAAGTACATGCAAGTATTTGTACCTTCGTTTTATAGCATCTCTTTCTTGACGTGTTTGCGGAAATCTTATCCATTTTCCAAGGATATTGGGATTGTTTAGAGCATCAGTCACTTCTCTGATGGCACGAGATACAGATTGCTGAGACATCAATGTGCCATATGTTCCACCAACTAATTTTTGGTAACTTCCAGTAGCATAGAAGGACAAAGCTAACAAAATCTGTAAACGCAGTAAATAATATATATAAAATTACAATATAAAAGAACCTATATAATTTTATGTTAAATAGACACCTATAATAGGAATAAGCAAACAGAGTTAAATCACTCACTTTATGTTTAGGTGATATATCACTTCTTCTTTTCGAAGATTGCATATACGGCTATAATTCGTTCTTTATCTCTTCAAAAAAGTCTTTAGTCACACGGTAATTAACCCTAAACTCATCATCACTCATGGAAAAAGCTTTGTCCATATATCGCATCATCCGTCGTTCATTTCGCCTTTGTTTTAATTGTAATGCACGGTTACGTCGTAGAATAATAACCGGAAGAGCTAAACGTGCCATAATTTTATTGAAAAAAATAATATACTTGCAGAAAACAAATGATTAATTTCACCACAATTTCTAAAACGTTACTGTTTTGCTATTGCCTTCATTCCAATTAAAACCCAACGTCAAACACAATACGCTGCTGTCAACTAACTGTCAAAAGTGCGTCGGGAGTACCGATTTTGCTTGGACAATTTCAATTCCAATCCCAATTAGTTCACACAGTCACCACGCAATACTAAACTAATTTAGCGCTAGAGTCGCTTTCAAGAATACCAAATGTCATAATTCCAATCCCGATCGATCGGAATTGTTTTCAAGAGTAAGCCAGCAGGTCGTCACTCCATCTAGTGGGGGGTCGCCCTACACTACACCTACCGGTACGAGGCTGCCACTCGAGAACTTTTCTTCGCCATCGGTTATCGGTTCTTCGAACTATATAGTCGGCCCATTGCCACTTCAGCTTACTAATCCGTTGGGCTATGTCAGTCACTCTGGTTTTACTGCAGATATCCTCATTTCTGAGTCTATCACGCAGAGAAACTCCGAGCATAGCCCTCTCCATAGCTCGCCGAGCAACCTTGAGCGTCCTCATACGGCCAGCAGTGAAGGACCACGTCTCAGATCCGAAAGTCATCACTGGCAACACGCACTGGTTGTACAATCTAGTTTTTAGAGATTAAGGAATATCTGACGAGAAGATGTGTCGTAATTTCCCGAACGCTGCCCAGCCGAGTTGAATCCGTCGATTGACCTCTCGGTCGAAGTTGGACTTACCTAGTCGGACTATTTGTCCCAGGTAAACGTACACGTCAACAACTTCGATCATAGTGCTCCCAACATCTACCGTCTTAGGTAAGATATGGACATTAAACATGATCTTTGTTTTGTCCATGTTCATCTTAAGACCTATCCGTTGGGAGACACCATTGAGGTCACTGAGCATAGTGCTTAGGTCCTCCAGCGATACTACTATAAGGACTATATCGTCGGCAAATCAGAGGTGAGTGATGTACTCGCCATTGATGTTAATACCGTATCCTTTCCAGACCAGTAACTTGAAAACGTCTTCCAATGCAGCGATGAAGAGTTTCGGGGAAATAACGTCACCCTGTCTTACACCTCTCTGCAGTTGGATAGGTTTCGAGCTCTGGTTCTGTACTCGGATAGCCATCGTAGCCCTAATGTACAAACACTTCAGCACTTCGATATACCGACAGTCAACTTGGCACCGCTGAAGCGACTGTGGCACCTCCCAAATTTCGACGGAATCAAAGGCTTTCTCATAGTCCACATACGCCAGGAAAAGTGGCAGATTGTACTCTTGGGTCTTCTGTACAATCTGCCGCAGGGTACGTATGTGGTCTATGGTACTGAAGCCTTTTCGGAAACCAGCTTGTTCGGGAGGCTGGAAGTCGTCGTGTGCTGAGACGATTCGTTATGACTCTCGAAAACAGCACGTAGACGCGGCTCGTGTAGTTCTTTAAGAGAGCGTTGTCGCCTTTCTTAAAGAACAAGACCACCGCACTTATGCTCCACGCCTCCGGAGTTGTGCCCCCATGGAGGATGGAATTGAAGAGCTTCTGAAGGACTTCAAGTACCTGTGTTCCACCCGCTTTCATAAGCTCTGCTGTAATTCCATCCTCGCCTGGGGCCCTGCCGTTTTTAAGTTGCTGGAGAGCCATTCTAATCTCGCTCAGACTGACGTCCAGGATGTCATCGGAATAGTGTCGGATAAGACTTGCTCTTGGATCGTTACTCACACTTGCATGTTACTCCAACGATGATGTGTACAGCTGCCCATAGAATACCTCAATCTCACTCAAAATCTCAGGTGTCCCGGAAATGATGCTGCCACACTCTAAAAAACTTTAAGAAAAGACTTTGGAGCCCTGGTTCTGCTCGATCGCTTCTTTAATACGAGTAGTATTAAAGTTGCGTAAGTCTCGCTGCATGCATTTGGAGATCTGTTCGTTGAGTTGCCTGTATGCTGTCAAATCTGTTGACGATTGCAGCGTAATCTCCCGTCTAACAGCCATGAGATTAAGAGTGTGATCGGAGAGTTTTTGTGTTCTTCTACGGCGGGTCTTGCAGAACTTAGCTCCGACCGCATGAACAGTTTCCACGAGCTTGTCATTCGTATCTTCCACTGCATTGCAATCTTCTAGGCACTGAAAGCGGTTACGTAACTCGAGCTGAAATGTTTCGGGATTATGGATCAGAGCACGAGGGGGACGGAGCGTTGACTTCATTAGACGAGACCTCCCTAAATAACGTTTAGGTTCAGTGTGCCTCTAACCATTCGGTGATCGCTGCCAGTTGTCACCCTTGCGATCACTGAGACATCACTGAACAGTCTAAAAAAAGATTAATATACGTTTTTTCTAGAATTAGTGTGACGAACAAGCACACATTCCTCCTGATGGTAAGTGGTTACTGTAGCCCATATACATCTACATATAGTTTCCATAAAGGATCAAAATTAAGATGCGTTGGCACTCCTGAGGACTAAGATGGAATGCCTCGTTTCCAGTAAAAAAAGGTATCCGGTTCTGTACACTCACCTTACGAAAAACAGCAGCAATACGCTGCTATTTTACGCTGGTATTCTGTGAGAGCGTGTCCTTTCCCGGTCAAGCCGACCCTTCGTGCTACAACAATAATATAGCTGCACATGCTAGTGAGGGCAATCCATTTGACTCTACAGAGTCAGTAATTCATTCAATGTAGTATTTGAAATGTAATTAAAAACTATATCTCTTATTTTTTTTACGCTTAAAAAACTTTTTTATTAAAAATTATGTAGGATCACCACTGAAGTGAAACCTATCAAATAAAATAAGAATCATTAAATCGATTCAGCCACTTCCGAGAAATCGTCGCACATACATATAAAAAATATACACGTAGAGTATAGTAAGTTTTCGTGTTTGTAACTCGGATAATAACAATGATTTCAAAGGATCCTTCCTTTTCTCGCCCATCTAAATATTTTGCTCATAACTTCTTCATACAAGAAAAGTAGCGCATCTGTCTTAATACAAACTTCATAACACGACGTAACCAGGGTCAGATTTCGTACGTAGTATAATTGATAATTCGAGTATTACGTTTCTTTGTGATTTGTGTTACAAACAATGATTTCAAAAGGAAGAATAGGCCCATTTAAATATTTTACTTACAACTTTTCCATACAAGAAAAAGTAGCGCATTTGTCATAAGACAAACGTCAAATCAAAACAAAACGTAACCAGGGTCGAATTTCGTAGTATAATTATCCTAATTGTACCATTATGTCATAGTTTGTAGTATATAGTATCGTAGTAAAACAAAGCGAAAATACCATAATTTTACCTAAAGTTCGAATTTTATTATTATTGGGTCCTTTTAAATTTTAATATTAACCCTACAATATCGATAATTTTCGAATTGTAAATTAAAAAAAAATTAGAATTAGCTCCCTTCTGGTCAATCGATGCTTGATGCATTTATGTTGCATCCTTGATACAACTGTAATGAGGGGCTACCACGATAAAAACTCTATGCTCCAGAAGCAATCTGTTTGGAAACAGAATTTCAAATTACATTATGAATCAGATTTTAAGATTAAATTAAGCAGATATGGTTTCTTTTGTACTCTTTTCGATTTACCCTTAAAGTAAAGTAAAGTAAAGTTACAGCCTATATACGTCCCACTGCTGGGCTCAGGCCTCCCCTCATTTCTGAGAGGGTTTTAGGGCAAGGAAGTGTCCGCCGCGCTGCCCAAATGCGTGTTGACGAACTTCATATGTCTTCGAAATATTTTTTTTCTTATTCCTCAGACATGCAGGTTTCCTCACGATGTTTTCCTTCACCGCCGAGCACGTGGTAAATCAGCACTTAAAATTTCAATTAACAATTTCATTGGTGCCGGCGGGGATCGAACCCGGGTTACTCGCGTTCTGTTATATTTACAGCGAGCGTTAACCACTGAGCTACCACGGCTCTTACCCTTATTGAATATAAAATATATAAGGTACCAATATTCAAAATTTAACTTACACTAACTTCTTTAGACAAAAATTAAACAAAAATAAAAATAAAACCGTCAAAAAACGAAACGTTTATTTTCCGTTAATAAACTAGACGCGTGACGCCAAAATCCCGGCACATAGAAAAAAAGAAACATGAAACGTCAAACGTGATATAATTTTTTAAATAGTATAATTTTAATTTCCTTGTACAATATTTTTTAGGGTCTAAATCCAACCCCAGCCTAATCTTGGTAACGTAACTAAACTAACTATAAAATAAAACTTTAAAAATGCGTTTATATAATAATTTAATTGTAAAAAAATTAATACAACGTTATTTACCGATGATACGATATCCAATTTTTTTAAACGTTTGTATCGTAATTTTTGCATTCTTTTACCACGCAACTAGACATATTTATGACAGGCAAATCTGTCCTGCGCGCGCACTACTGTCGACCGATTCGCGTTGGCCCTAAACTGTAATTTTAGGGCCAGAGCACTGCTCCGTTTTAGTTGTTCGGTCGGGCCGGTCCTTACGCTAGTAATGTATAAGTCAATGGTTACAAGCTGATTGAGATTACTGTTTGATTACATTGCTACAAAGCTTTCGTATAGCTTGTCACGCCTGGTTACATTATCGAGAGTCCTTT